AGGAATGCTGCTTATCCTTTGACACTCCGGTAATCTCTTCTTTTTCTGTTTGGCTACTGAGAAACTTCGTGATTTTGTTTTTGCCGCATTACTTTGATGCTCGATTATCTCCATTTCCCATTTTTTGGGGTTTCGTTCTTGTTGTTTTAGAATTTCATTTTCTCCGCGGATAGTTCAAAGATTATTAGCGTGTTTGACAATTTTGCTTACTTAGTTGCTGTTTGGGAAGTGGCAAAGTGTAGAAAGTGGGTAGAAAATGCCACGCCCAATTTAGGTTTAATCCGCAGCTTATTTTCTTTTAGTATTCGGAGTTTAATCCGTGGCCGAAGTAAGAATTTGCGTGTTTGATGATTTTTTATAATTATATTTGGATTGGTTTAGGAAATGATTGATATAGATACTACAGCTAATTTTTGCCTTGATCAGAAAAGAGTATATATATGTATATGTATATGTATATATTATATTCACTGTTTTTGTGGCTTGAGTTTGTTGGTGCTACTTGATTATGCCCTTTGCCATTCTATTATTTCTTTTTCTTTATTTTTTAAAGCTTTTGTGTTTGAAGTACTTGTTGTCTTTGTTGTTGCAATTTTGGCTTTCTTTCCATGTTGTAACCATTTGGAATGTTGTGAATGCATGTGAAGAAAAATACTTGGTAACATTTTGGTGTCTTTGCTCTGTTGAAGCTTTACATTGTTCAGAGTTTTCTCTTTTCTAATCGGTGTTCTTTTAACGGGTTTCAGAAATCCGAAGGTGGCTTGTTCATCGACATGACTACATTTCTTGCTTTTGGAAAGGAATGTGTTGGTTGGAACTATGAGAAGACTGGAAACCCTGTTTATTTGCATATAAAGCAAACAAAAAAGTTGGTTCCCGAAGATAGACCTTTAAAGAAACCTACTTTACTGGCTATAGGTATGTTAACGATCTAAATTTAGATTTTTGGACATTATATTGTTTTTTGTCTTTATTCTTTTAAATTTTTTCTGGAGCGTGGATTGTGCTTTTGATCATTATATTTTGTTTTGGTAAGAAGAAGTTGTTGGATGTTTCAGTGTTGTCTAGTATGACAATATATAGCTGATGAAACAATTTGAATTTGCTGATAATAAGACCTAGTTGGGAGCTATATCTGTTCTAATTTTTCAAGGATGACTTTTTAACACAGACCACTGGAATAAGTACTCTGTTTGATTATTAAGAAGTGCCTTCTCTAATATTTAATGAGAAAATCAATGGAGGACCGAGGACCTTAGGGAAGCAATATGAAATTATGAGTCAAAAGCACTGACTATACATTAATTAGTTTAGTTAAATAGGATGCAAATGGTTAAATAGGATGCCTGGTATCTTCTTTTGGCTCTTGGTCGTACTATTTTTCTCTTTCGATAATAGTTTTTATTAGCCAAGTACCTGAATGGTGATAACAATATTGGAGAAAGTGACATCCAGGCTGTCGCAGCATGCAGGCCCAAATAGCATTCATTTATGTAGTAGTTATATTTTTCTCTTATTTAGGGAATAGCATGGTTTGATCCTTATGGTATTTTATTTGTAGGTGTTGATGGTGGATTTGACAACAATGAAATTGATTATGAAGAGACCTACAGTATAGTCATGTTGCCTGATTATGTAACTCTTCCTTTTCCTTCTGTGGAGTTACCAGAGAAGGTGCTTATTTTCTTTTAATTTGTAAACTGTAAAATGATTGATGGAAGAAATATGAAAGCTACAATCTCAATTCTCAAACAATAATAGGATCTGGGGTTGTACTTCAGGTAAGGTTGGCAGTTGATGCCATTTTAAGGGCTGAAGGTGCTGAGAGGAAAGAGCAAGTTGCAGCCTGGACAGCTGATAAAAAGCAAATTAGTGCATATGCAATGAGTTTACAACAAATTGGCAATGGTGTTATTGTTCCCCCATCTGGGTGGAAATGTTTCAAGTGTGATAAGACAGAAAATCTTTGGCTGAACCTAACTGATGGAATGATTCTCTGTGGACGAAGAAATTGGGATGGAACTGGTGGCAACAACCACGCCGTTGAGCATTATAAGGAAACAGGCTATCCTCTTGCTGTAAAACTGGGGACAATTACGGCTGATTTGGAAGGAGCAGGTAATGTCACTTCGTGTAGAAGATTCGAGAACTGTAATGTTAATTCAAATATGTTTGGAGCATTGCAAGATGATTAATATAACAAGATTTATTATATTTAAACTTTGTTAACCCTTTTTTTTTTTTTTTTTTGCTCATCTCAAATTGCATTAATGCAGTTTAGTGTATGTACCCTATACTTCTGATCAGTGATCACAAATGAACTTCCAAATTTGAGTTAGAAACGTTCTCTTGGCCTACAAAAGTCAGCATGCTGAAAATTGTAGGCTGCTCGCTTTAGTAGCTTAGTGTTCTATATGTGTTACTATTGTATTTCAGTTTATTTCTGAAGGTTTTGTATTTTTAATCAAGTGGTAATGACGAGTAACATATTGTGGCAGCTCAGATATTTACTCTTACCCAGAGGATAATAGTGTTTTGGATCCTCTTCTAGCACAACATCTGGCATTTTTTGGAATTGATTTTTCATCACTACAGAAGGTTAGTAGCTTGTACATCTTTAAACCATCTTTTATGACTACTGTTCTGTCAATATTCCATTTCTGTTTCTTATAGGTTGCTAGTTCTGTGGTAGTGGTTGTATTTGAACACACCGATAGTGTGTGTAGTGGCTAGAGGACTTGTGGAATGTTGATCTTACTCTTTGCATTCACATTTTTCGTTGTGGAGGGAATTAAGGGTACCCATGTAAAATGCTTCATGCTTATCTTTTGAGACAGTAATTTGTGGCGAAAGAAAAGAATTTAAACTTTAATGGGATTTTTTTTTTCTCGATTTTTTTAAACAAATCTAATGAACAAAGCCTTGAAGCAATCCGATCAAACAATGGAAATTTGGCTTTCTAATTTTATGGAACTCCCAATTTCCTTTTAATATTGGGACATGGTTTGACATGAAATAGTCTTGGATAACCAAAGAATCAAGCCTGGTAATCTATGCATGTAGGTTGTTCTATGCTGAATAATCATGTTAACAATTACATTGTTGTTTTCAGACAGAAATGACTACTGCTGAAAGAGAACTTGACCAGAATACCAATTTTGATTGGAACCGGATTCAAGAAAGCGGACAGGATGTGGAGCCTATTTGCGGACCTGGTTACACGGGGCTTGTCAATCTTGGAAATAGGTAACTTTGTTACAATCAGAGCGCTGCTAGAGTCATCTTATTTGTTTTGATATTTCTTGTATTCTCATTTTGTTCTTTTGCAGCTGCTACCTGGCAGCCACTATGCAGGTTGTGTTCTCAACACACTCCTTCTACACACGGTTGGTTTTTGTTATTATTATTGCTGTTATTTTAGTTTATGAAAATTAGTATATGTATCATTCATTACAATTTTTATGCTTTGGTTACTTACTTTTTATTGTCATGAATTTGATTTTGGCAGGTACTACAAGAATCAAACGTTGAAAACGGCTTTTGCGATGGCTCCTGCTGATCCCACTGTAGACCTGAATATGCAGTTGTAAGTAGCTAGCACAAATTATTTAGGACAAGAAACCGAACAAAAAAGAAGGAAGAGAAATGAAAGTAGCTAGCATGTTTATAAAGCAGTTCATATAATTCCCTGATATAGAAAGCTTCTGTATTCATGAAGATTCCATATTGTATGACAGAACAAAGCTGGGACATGGTTTGCTGTCTGGTAAATACTCTATTCCATCTCATGAGGTATGCAAACTATCTGAATAATTTTTTCGTAACAATAGGTTCTGCTTCTTCTTGTTTAATGTTATCTTATTTCTTATCCAGGAAAAGGATCATACAAATACTTCTACACCAACAGCGACTGCTGTGAGTTTCTTCCTTAGTTATTCCTCGTTCTTTTTTGTTTTTTATTTTTTTTCATTTCATTGGTGCAAGTTTTCACTTATCCTGCAATCTACTTTATGTTGATTGCTGTCCAATCATTGAGCTATTTATTTACCGTGTTAGTCTTCATATGTTTTCTATAGATTGTTTTCAATTTGCATGCATTGCACACTAGTGAGTGCACTTGGATGATTCCCCTTTGATTGTTTTATTTTTTATTTTTCTTGATTTTTCCATCTTATACAAATATTAGAAACAAGAGGGGATACCACCTCGTATGTTCAAAGCTGTTATTGCTGCCAGTCATCCTGAATTTTCTACCATGAGACAGCAGGTATGTTTACTGTCCTTCATTTTATTTTACTTTATTATTATTTTTTAGATTAGATGCATTTTTGGCAGATGATACTTTTGGGAGTTCTATTTTCTCTCCTTTTATTTATTTATTTATTTTTTGAGAATTTATAAGTACACGCACTTACTGGAAATCTCTCAGATTTACATTCATATGCATTTTCTGTTTTGAAAACTCATGCAAGTAATTTTCAAGTTCTGCGTATTTGCTTTTATAAGTACTTGAAATGACTTCTATTTAGGATGCCTTGGAGTTCTTCCTACATTTTCTTGATCAAGTTGAACGAACAAATGGTGGGAAACCTGAGCTTGATCCTGCAAGGTGTTTCAAGTTTGGTGTTGAAGACCGTATTCTGTGCTCATCTGGAAAAGTTGCTTACAATAGAAGGCTTGACTATATTCTTTCTCTAAATATCCCATTGCATGAAGCTACTAATAAAGGTGAGTTTGTTAGGATTGTTTCCTATTCGTGCAAAATTCATTTTGTTTTGATGCTTTATATATGATATTGCAGAGGAGCTTGAAGCCTTTCATAAACTGAAAGCTGAAAAAATTTCAGAAGGGAAGGAAGTGTAAGTCTTTCCGATACAAAATTTATACTTCAGATAATTTTTTAGACATTTTGCTAAGCATGCTGGCATATGGCAGATCTAATGATGAGGTTGTACGTCCAAGGGTGCCTCTAGAAGCATGTCTTGCCAGCTTTTCATCTCCAGAAGAGATACATGATTTTTATAGTACTGCGTTGAAGACTAAGACAACAGCTGTCAAGTAAGTTTTGTTGTTTCCAATTGTCTCAATATAGCCCAAGATAATGTTCTATCTGCTAAACATCTGATAGTATGCTCTTCTATATTTGAGTAATTTGACCAAAACGTGAAAGGCACGTTTCGGTTGAGCTTAATTTCCTTTTTCTTTTTATTTTTATTAAAATTCTGCAGCTCTCTTAAAAAGGAATATCTGCAAGCACGACTTTTGCAAGAAAAGAAGCTAAGTGTTTAGAATTAATGAGATTTATGTCTCCAATAAATTCAAGAAAACCACTAGTTTGTATAGGAAAAAATATGCGGAACAGGATTTGGTCTTATTAGATTGGTTAAGTGGTTGAAATCAAGTGCTGAGAATCCCAAGTTGCTTGGAGATATTAATTTACTTGTTATCCAACTGAAAAGCGGAAAAGGGTATTAGTTACCATACAGGTGCTTAAATATTTGAGAGGCCATGACAGCAATGTAGTTCTCAATCTCATGTATTATGCCAACTACTGTGTTTTTTGAAGGATAAACCAAAATAGATTCCGCGGAAAGAAATTTTTTGCAGGAAATCTTTGTTGCTCTTCTTGAACAGAACTAAGATTGACTGTTTTTCTACCATCCCTTTCATGGGTGCCTTGCAGGACTGCTGGTCTAACTTCGTTCCCTGATTATCTAGTTTTGCATATGCGGAAATTTGTTATGGAAGAGGGTTGGGTGCCAAAAAAGCTAGGTATTTTAATTTCTGCTGTTTCTTTAGGTTTTATTTTCTCCTTTTTCCTTTGACATTTTGGACACTTATTACTTATTGTATCTTTCAATTCAGATGTCTATGTAGATGTACCAGATATTGTAGATATTAGTCACATGCGCAGTAAGGGATTTCAACCGGGAGAGGAGCTGTTACCAGAGGGTGGTAGGTGTTTCTTTCTTGCATTTTCACTCTTATTTATCTCCATTAATTCAATACTGATCATGAGTTCCTCATGAAATTTTCTAATGAATCATTCAGGTCCTTGGGATGAGGCTGAATCCAATAAACCTGTTGCCAATGATGATATTGTTGTGCAGCTTGTTTCGATGGGTTTTAGTCATCTTCATTGTCAGAAGGCTGCCATCAATACCTCTAATACTGGAGTGGAGGAGGCAATGAATTGGCTACTTTCTCACATGGATGATCCAGGTAATTAACTTAATCTCATGTTGAAAGAAATTTCTCAACCTTAGGATAGAAACAAGGCGTTTACATTTTTTAGCTTTCGAACTTTGGTTTCGACTGTTGTTATGCTGTACTGTAGTAACTGCCTTCTGATGCGAAAATTTTTTCTTTTCCCCCAGATATAGATGCTCCTATATCCCAAGGTGGTGAAACAGTGGTGGACCAATCACAAATTGATGTGTTGCTTTCATTTGGATTTCAAGAAGAAATTGCCCGGAAGGCTCTTAAGGCATCGGTAGTTTTCTACATATAGCTTAACTTTATTCCGAGTAACCTTTGTTCATTTTTTAACAGCCAGTAAAACTTGTTCTATCCAACATATGTAAACGATTTTTGTTTTCAGGGCGGTGACATTGAGAAAGCAACAGATTGGATTTTCAACAATCCTGATGCTTCTGCTGCTTCTGATACGGATGCTACAACATCAAACACAACTACTGTGGCTGATGTCGGGCTACCTGATGGAGGAGGAAGTTAGTATCTTACACCAATTTATTTGTTTTTCTGGTTTACGATAAAAACCGCTTTCACACCTATTAACAAACAGATTATCAAAAACATTACTTACTAACTGACGATAAAGTAATCGACACATGAACATCTAGGAGCCAACTTGTGGGAATATGACAAAAGTCTTGTTATTACCAGATGATTTTATTATTATGCTAATTTTTTCAATTTGTTCACTTGCCTTGCGCAGGATACAGACTTATAGGAATTGTTAGCCATATCGGAACCTCTACTCAATGCGGCCACTACGTAGCTCACATTTTCAAAGACGGGAGATGGGTTATTTTTAACGATGACAAGGTTGGGGCTTCCATTAACCCTCCCAAGGACATGGGGTATATATACTTCTTTGAGAGGCTTAGCAGTTGAGAGGCTTGAAATTTAAAGACAACGCAAAAGAGGTAGGAAATAATAGTGGAGTAGAGATAGTGGACAGTTTTGCAGAAATTCAGCAACAAACTAATTAATTATTCATGTGCACTTTGGTCTGATGTATGTAGCATGGGATTTTGGGGTGGCCCTTGTCCTGGGATGATATTGATTTCCTATAAGCTACATTGTGTTTTTCTTGCTGCATTTGCTGGGTATAACTATCTCTTCAGGGTGGTCCTTTTATTTTATTTTTTATTTTTAAATTCATATTATAATTTGAATTCTCTTGTTATCTCTATAGCTTCTTAAAATTCATGAGGTGATTTTCGTTGGGACCAAAATCTCTCGGTGATGAATATGGAATTTCTTGATGCCATTCTCTGTTTTTTAGGTTGATGCCGTTTCCCTTCTTGGTGTTCTTTTCCGTTTCTTTTGTTGTTGTCGTTTTCACTTTTATTTTTAGGAATTCTCGTCATTTTGACTTATGATTTTGTTTTTGTTTTTATGGTCTTGTCGTTTATCTTCATTTATGTCGGTTCTCATACTCATTGATGTTGATGTTTTCAGTTCTTTTCGTGTTTTTTTTTTCCTTTTGTTTTGTTTTTCGTTTTGTTATGTTGTTTCTATATTTCTGTTCTTCAATTCATGTCGTTTTTCTCTTTCGTATGTATGTCAATGTCATTTTCCGTTTTGTTGTCTTATCTCTCCCCGTCTGCTTCCAAGTAGATGTGGGCCTTTTCACAACTCAAGTCATCACTCAAATTCTTTTGATAAATGTCTTTTCTCATAAAAATGTAGATTTAACTTTTTTGTTACAAACTGCAAACCAACTCAAAAGATTCTGTTTATGATGTTCGTAACACTAAATCAAAACAAAATACCTTGAACTCCATTCAACCAAAACCAAAAGTACTGTTTTTGCTGATTGTTTTTTTGACGTTTATGCAATTTGGCTCTAGAATTGGATTCTTTATATTTGAGTGCCGTGCATGCCTATTATTGCACTGACATCATAAATCATATTAAACTATACGTGCCACAATAAACAAGGGTATGCCATACCTTGATGAAAGTTTTACCTCATACATAGTTTAATAACTTCCTTTTAACCCAACAAAATTTGACAATAAATTAAATTAGACCACATAATCTATCATAATATTATTGTCCAAAAATCATGTTCAATAGAAGCTAAAAATCACCGTCATTCATAACATTAATGTTATACCTCGTTGGTGTTATACTCAAACTGCAAACTAATCTAAATGTATCCAAGTATTTATCATGGTGGCGGTTTCCTAATAATGTTATTTTCTCGTTTTTGTCCTTTCTTACTATTGTAGAAAATTCAAGTCTAATTTAGAGAACACTTTTAAATAGTTATTCAAAAATACTAATATTGCTGAAAGTTTAAGTCTAATTTACACATGACTTTAAGCCAACAAAGACTTTAAGCCTAGATGAATGTTAACAATATCATTCAGACAGTCAAAATTTCCCACACAGAAAATAAAAGTCTATCGAAATCATTTATCCATCACAAGAGATAAAGAAAACGAAGGAAGAAGAAAAATCCAGCATTTAAATTGCCCCTGGTCCGTTGCCAAAATTTTGATCTCGACCCTCACTTTAACTTGGAGTCAGCATTGTTCAGTTACTCTATATTCTGCTCCCTATGTTTCTCTCTGTATACGCCATGTGACAAATGCTAACATTTGCATTAACATAGTAACATTATTGAAATCTTCAGTACGTAAAGAGCGAAACATAACATGATCTTCCTCCAACTTTTTAGATAATTGCCACTTAAGTTGAAAGCCAAATTGCTTATCTTTGTCATCTTGTGCAGCATCTTGCTCCGATCTCTCATCCCGATCAGCGGTCGCCTTGTCATCACTTTTTCCAGCAAAAAGTTTCAACTCATCACACATTTTAATCAAACTTTTCATGCAGGTCAGTATTTGATCCCCCTGAAATTCACAGAAATGAGTGAAAATAAGGTCCTCATGATCAAGCGCGTGCCTAATGCGTATAATAACTATTTTTCGGTTCAGTTTACCTCTCTGAAGCTTGTTCTACAAAGGACTCGATCCATGTAATCTGGAAATTCATGGGGATAGAGATATTTGGAAGCCGCAAGAAGAGACGCTGATGCTATAACAGAAGGCGAGAATTTCGTGACCGCGATGTCTGCATCAAAAGTTCAAGAACAAGTCATAAGGGGGAACAAAATGTTACTATCTACAATTTTCATGTTCAGATTATTTAAGGACATGAAGCCTTTGATTGAATCTTTCATTAGCTAATACCCCGAAAATACTTTTCCTAAGAACCGAAGGAAAAGGGGTAAAAGTTATCAATTGCATCTTTTTATGGAGAAACGAAAAATAAGAATACAGAAGAGGAAGAAACAAAATCGTTTTAGTATGAGGACCCTCTTATCCTTTCCGTTTACTGAGAAACAAATTTACAAAACCTAGAAAAATCACATTCTAAAATGAAAAATTCGCAATCTTGGATATGTTGACTTTACCCTTTTGCGATTGTATGATGATCTCGTTGATAGTTCTGCGCCTAAAGCGATTAAACAAGTTGAACTTGCGCTCCAAGTACGGAATGAAGCTGAATGCCGTTACAACACACAAATTCCAATCGAGTCCTTTGAGAATGCACAGCTCCATTCTCATGTACTGATCTTCGGTAACGATGTTACGAGGTTGTAGCTGTTCTACCTGTTTAAGCAAATTAGTAAATAATATTCAAACAATATAAGGGCGCAACGAGTGGACAATGAATTGAGGCCAAATGAACTTCTTTTAAGGATAGCCAAACACAATATGCAAATTTAATTACCAGAAATTTCGGGTTTGTAAAACTTCTGCTTCTCATCTTCCAAGCAAGTGTAAGGCATGATATCACAAGAAGTTCCATATCATATACTTCAGAACTCATTATTCTCTGAAAAAACAGAAAAAAAAAATCACATTAAACATTATTAATACACGGTTTACATACATATTAGATAAAGAAAAGGCATAGAAAGATCATATTAAGATGGTAATTTCAACAAGTCTCAAAGGCGATTTAAGATACCGGTATACGCTTCGTGGAAACGAAGCGATCAAAGTAGTTCAGTGCAAGATATGCTATGAAAGGATCAAAATTTTCCCTCTTCCAGTACTGCAAGAAATTCATCGAAATATGTGGTAATAATTACCCAAGAAATCAGGCGATCGAAAACAAAAACGCTTTGAATACAAAAGAATCAAAGAAAAAGAATCGAAAACAAATGTGTCAAGAACAAATTAAAAGTGGCATTATTTTTCTGTAATTGAAAAGTTCTTCATTTGAAAGAATATATATACATAGAAATTAGATAAAAGGAATCAAAAGTATGTCTAAAAAAAAAAAAAAAAAAAAAAAAGTTAAAAGAATTATAGGGTTCCTCATCTTTAA